CCAGGAGGAAACGATGCAGAGAAGGAAGTGGATCAAGTCATCCCGGGTGGAGGAAACGTAAAGGTCCTCAAGGAGTCCAAAGCCCAGGGCAGAACCCCCGCCAGGGAGAAGAAGTACGTATGCAACGAGTGCGGGAGAAGTTTTGGCCAGAGCTCGAACCTGATTGTTCATCAGCGAATCCACACGGGAGAGAAACCCTACAAATGTCACGAATGCGGAAAGTGCTTTAGACAGAGCTCCAATCTGATCGTACACCAGAAAACTCACACGGGCGAAAAACTCTATGAGTGCTCCAAGTGTCACAAGTGCTTCCAAGACAGGTCACTGCTCATCCGGCATAAGAGAATCCACATAGGAGAAAAGCCTTTTAAATGCCAGCAGTGCGGGAAAAGCTTCATTCACAAATCAAGACTTCTTATCCATGAGAAAGTACACGTAGGAGAACAAATCTACCAGTGTCCCGAGTGTGGGAAATGCTTCCGGGAAAAATCAAAGTTCCTTCAGCATCAGAGACGACACATGGGAGAGAGACGTTACAAGTGCTACGAATGCGGAGAGGAGTTTGGCCAGAGCTCAGACCTCAATCTACACCAGAGGATCCACGTGGAGGAAAAGCTCTACCAGTGCTCAACGTGTGAAAAGTGCTTCAAAGACAGGTCAACCCTCATTAGGCACGAGACAGTGCACACGGGAGAGAAACCTTATAAATGCCACGAATGTGGGAAGAGGTTCACCCGGAGCTCAGACATTATCGTACATCAGAGAACGCACACCGGGGAGAAACCCTTCCAGTGCTCCGAGTGCGGGAAAAGCTTCAGCCACAGGTCAAATCTTTTCCGGCATCAGAGGATGCACACGGGAGAGAAGCCGTATAAGTGTGAAGAGTGTGGGAAACGATTCGGGCAGAGTTCAGAGCTCATCGTCCACCAGCGAACGCACACGGGAGAAAAGCCCTACCATTGCTCCGAGTGCGAGAAGTTCTTCAGGGGGAGATCGACGCTGTTCAGGCACGAGAGGTTGCACACGGGCATTAAACCCTACGAATGCACTGAGTGCGGGAAAAGCTTTGGGCAGAGCGGGGACCTCATTGCACACCAGCGCTTCCACACTGGAGAGAAGCCCTACCAGTGCTCCGAGTGTCGGAAATTCTTCAGTAACAGATCCAGCCTTGTTCGACATCAGCGGCTGCACGCAGGTGAGAAGCCGTACAAGTGCCACGAGTGCGAGAAGAGCTTTGGGCAGAGCTCAGACCTCATTGCACATCAGAGAACCCACACGGGCGAGAAGCCCTACCCGTGCCCTGTATGCGGGAAGAGTTTCAGCCGGAGATCGAACCTCATTGTGCATCAGAGAGAGCACAGAGGGGACAGACTCTGCAAATGCCAGAAGTGTGGGAAAAGCTTCCAGCTGAGCTCGACTCTCGCTGTAAAGCAGAGCGTGCCGACAGGAGAGAACGCTCCTCAGTGCCCTGAATGCACAAAGCGTTTCAAGGAGGGGTCAAACACCATTGAACATCAGAGATAACACAGGGCAGAAAAGCTTTACAAGTGCCCAGCAAGAGGAAAGAGTTTTGGATAGAGATGTGAAATCGTACGTGAGAGAGAGAAAAATTAGTGCTTCTCCTAGGTAAAGTTCTTCAGCTTCGGTGAGATCGGGTGAAATCCTTCAGGACTGCAGACTGCAAAGGTAGAAAAGAACAGACATGCAAATGACCTAAAGTAGGCTGATCGGAGCACATAATATAATTTTTTTGCTAATTATTTCCTCTTACTGTTGAGATTGCTCAAAGGGCTTGATGTGCTCTGTGTTGGTCCATGATTCGCCTTCCTCTCGCCCCAGTGAAATCATCTGCTTCCTGGGGTTGAGGCTGTCTGTCATCCCCTCATCTGCCTTTAAAACCCTTCCTTAAATCCTTTGATATTCTCCAGGCTGGGGCATCTGCCCAGGGCATCCATCAGTACCCCAAGATACTGTAGAAATCCATCTTCCCTTGCACATCCTTCCCTCCCCCATATGTATTCAACCTCAATAAAAAAAGGCCCTCTGTTCCTAAGGAATTTTATGTTTATCTTGAATTTGTATGCTATAGCTGTCCATGAAATCCGGGATTGCTGCTGGGTTATCCGCTTCCTGCACGGCAGGAGGAAGTGACTGTTGTAGTAAGTCAAGGGGGAAAAATTATCGGTATGTGTCATGAAGCTCTTCACAAGAGGAGACAGGAATCACCTAGTTATAACCTAAGAGAAAACAGTGAGATCTCAGTGAAGCCCCCGTGACTATTAAGGCCTCAGTCCGAAGCAGTGATTGCAGCGTCCGGCAATTATCTTGCGGTTGGTCCTTGTCTCTGCCAGCACTGCACTCTGGAGGAAAGCCCTTTACAGGGAAATCACGCTTTCCCACCAGGGTTTCTTTGGCGTTTCTGTGACTGTCACCCCTCGTCCACCACACTTCAGCGCGCTCCTTGCTCAGCGTGGCATTGCACGCGCCACGAAAACAGGGCACGTCCCTTCCACATCGACCCGGAGTCAGCCGCAGAACTGGGCAGATCTGGGGCTAACTGGGACCTGGTGGCCCCCCCCCCCCCAACACACACACTGAAGCAGTTGAGGCATGAAACCTTTGGATTTGGTGCATGCAAGTACTTGTGCTGCACCTGCTCGGGTGCCAGTCCCCGGACGCCTGGGTCCCAGCCCAGGCTTGCTGCTCCTGTGTGGAGCCCTGTGGGAGGGTTAATCATGTTGCAGAGCCCAGATGCCCGGCTTGAAGGCTGGGCAGCCCTTTTTCCTTCTGCTCCCGCTGCCTCCCACCCTGACCATGGCATCCCGGTTGTCCCTTTGGCCCTCTGCACACAGCTTGGGGACCGTGTGGCCTCGGAGCGACGCCGTTCCTGGGGCGGTCCTCCCTGGTGAGGGTCCTGCCATCGTGGCATGGCAGTGCCGGCGTCCCCGAGGTCCCCCCTCCCTGCTCTCGCTGTGGGCTGGGCGACCTGCTGCTGCTCGAGCTGGTCACATTGCCATGTGGGCTGGTGCCCAGGGGACAGGGAGATCCTTGTTAGGATATTGCATCCTGCCTAGGCTTCCCAGAGCCCCCTTCTCTCACAAAATCTGCAAGTTAAACATAGCTTTATGGTCTAGGGTAGCAAACACAGGCAGCTAAAGACCTGAACAGTTCACTCCCGTGCCGGAAATGTTGGGCCTAGGGTGAGATCCAGCAGCCTCACAGCCTTGGGGGAGCAGCTCCAGGTTGTCCCTTTGCCGGCTGCAGGCCCACGTGTGGCAGGGGGACATGGGTGGCCACTGGCCACCTTGCGTGGCCTCTGAGGGAACCTGAGGCAGGGAAATTGGGCTCGAGGGCTGCTGTGGTGGCCATGAACATGCATCTGCCCGTCTTTGAAGGGAGCCCTCAGTCACTGGAGAGCAGCACCCAACCACAAGGCCAAGTTGTGCTATGTTCTACCGTGGGCACCGGTGGGTCGGGGAGTGCAGAGGAGCACCCAGAGATGACACCGGCCCCCCGAGAGCTGCCACCACCTTCCCACCATCACCAGCTGCAGAAGGGTGGCCACGGGGCCATCAGTGCTGCTCAGGAGGTGCTAGTAGGCCTTAACTGCCCTGAGCAGCTTCACCTGGGTCCTCCCCCCACACCCCGCCTGTAGCCCCTGGCTCTGTTTAAGCTCAGCCCTGGGGGTTTAGCTCTTTTACTGGCTCTGCTGGAGGAGCACTGCTCTGCTGCTCAGCCCATGCCTGGCTGTGGACCCTGCTGACCTGCTTCCCGGCTTGCCCCCAGCCCTGCACAGCTGGATCCCAACCTCCCAGGGGCTCTGGAGACCCTTCTGGCTGATACCCACGGGAGCAGGGGAGCAGAGTGGAGATGGAGTGGTAGAGCTGATGCTTCTCCAAGCTGCTTCCTTTCTCTCTGCCTTTAAGAACATCTGCAACCTTTTCCTGCCTTGGAAAATGCTTGCATGCATTTTCCCTTATGATAACCCTCTGATGACATACAATTGCCTTATGTTTTCAGATACGTGCAAATATTGAATGGGAAAATAAAATCTCCTTAGGGACAAACAATCTGTTTTTAAATTTCAGTTTAATTCATGGGAGGGGCGTGGGGGATACTTGATTCCTATTTTATGTTGGAGCTGGGGCAAGAGCAGGGAGCGATGTCTCAGCACAGAGTGCCTTAAAAGATATAACAGTAAGACAGTCCAAGAAAAAAGATAATAGAAGGGCCCTTATCTAGGGAGCAAGCAGTTTGGATGAGGCTGCTGCAGGAGCAAGGTGGAGACTATCAAACTACGTGATAATGTGAAAAGTTAGCCTTTTCTGTTATTCTGGCTAGCCCATATTGCAACATTTCAATCTTTTCTTCCCCTGAGTAGTCTCTGATATACAAAAAGGTAAATCTCACATGGAAAAATATTCCACACTTGGAAAAATTGGCCTATGTTCTTTTTGTCTTGTATGGGTATCTTGGTATCGAGGGAGGTCTGAGTGCTGGCCAAGCCATTTCTCATGTTCCAGGCACTTGTAAGGTTTTCCTCCTCCATGTCATCTCTGATCCAGGAGGTTTGATTCCTCCTTGAGGGGCTTTGCACATGCGGAGCACAGGGAGGAGGTGTTTTCCCTCGCTATGCTCCCAGGAGCACCAATGCTAGAGTTTTGCTCCGTGGTTTTCCCACATTTTGAGCATTTGGAAGTTCTCCTTCCCCTGTGCCCCCGCTGATGGACTAGGAGGCTGGATTTCCTGGTGAACCTTTTCCCACACTCGGGGCACAGGTAGGGCTTCTCGCCCGTGTGGGTTCGCTGGTGGGCGATGAGGTCTGAGCTCTGCCCAAAGCTTTTCCCGCACTCGTGGCACTTGTACGGCTTCTCCCCTGAATGCCACTTCTGATGTTTCACAAGGCTGGATTTGTTGCAGAAGAACTTCCCGCACTCGGAGCACTGGTAGGGCTTCTCGCCCGTGTGGAATCGTTGATGTGTGATGAGGTCTCCACTCTGCCCGAAGCTTTTCCCGCACTCGGGGCACTCGTACGGTTTCTCCCCTGTGTGCAACCTCTCGTGCCTGAAGAGTCCGTACCTCCCCCTGAAGGATTTCTCACACTGGGAGCACTGGTAAGGCTTCTCCTCTGTGTGGGTTCTCTGATGGATGGTAAGTTCTGACCTCCGTGCAAAGGTTTTCCCACATTCATGGCACTTAAAGGGTTTCTCCCCCGTGTGCACGATCTGATGGGTAAAAAGGTTTGATCTCTGGCTGAACCTCTTCCCACACTCAGAGCACTCAAAGGGTTTCTCACCCGTGTGAATTCTCTGGTGTACGATAATGTCCGAGCTCCGGGTGAACCTTTTCCCACAGTCGAGACATTTATAAGGTTTCTCCCCTGTGTGTACTCTCTCGTGTCTGATGAGAGTTGACCTGTCCTTGAAGAACTTTTCACACGTTGAGCACTGGTAGGGCTTTTCCACCATGTGGCTTTTCTGATGTGACGTAAGGTCTGAGCTTTTTCCAAACTCCTTTCTGCACTCTTGGCATTTGAAAGTCTTTTCTCCTCTGTGCAGCCTTTGATGGCAAATGAGCTCAGATCTGTCCTGGAAGCATTTCTTACAGTGGGAACATTCATAGAGACTTTCTTCTGCAAATTGCTGCTGAACCCCCTCATGATGGGTGATTTCATCTGCTGTTTTCCCTGGCTCAGGTCCTCCCAGCCCCTGCCTGCTCTCCCCAGCCTCTCTTGCCAGAGCATTCCCAGCATTACTTCCTTTGGATTTTATTGCTTTTTCATCCGCTTTTACTTCATCAGGGTCTTCCTGCTCCATGTGGTCCTCTTCACCCTCCTCTTCCACCCTTTTTCCTGCTGGGTTAGACAGAGAATTGAGCTACACTAACTGTGCAAGGAAAAAGGAAGCCCGAGAGGTGGGACAGGGAAGGGGTAACTGATACTTTTGCAATTGTTTCCAGAGACCAGTGAGGAGTCACGGGGCAGTGGATGAATGTGGAGGGCCTCGAGGTCAAATTCCAGTGAGCACAATTTGCAAAGGACGACTGACACGGGTTAAGCCACCCCAGGTACAGTCCTTGCATGTGTGGAGTGAAAATGAAGAATTGCCTGGTGGTGCCTCTCCTGTGCTGTGAGTGCTCACCTTTGCAGATGTGCCCGGGGATGCCAGTCTCCCCTCTCCCTGGGGGACCAGAGGCCACCAGCTCTCTCCCTTCTTCCATCCAGGCAGCTGAGGCTGACGTGGATGCTAGAAAATGCTGTTGGGACAGGCACAAGCACACACCCACTGTCAGCACTCTGGCCCAGGGCACTTGGGCCACATTGTAGGCAGCAAACCACGCTCACTCTTCCCCAGGGGATTATTTTCCGTGACCCTCTTGGCTCTGATGAGGCTCTCTTCCCCCTCCCATAAACCCTGTGGCCTCCAGAGTGGCTCTTTTCTCCTCCCCTGGGCTGCTGGTCTGGAGCAGTCCCGGGGACCGTGGTTCACCTGCTCTGCCCGGTGCGACCGTGGGGCTCCGGCGCTACCTGTGGTCCTGCTGGGCTGGGCTGTGGTGTGATGCTCAGCCTGGCTCAGCTCGGCCCCTGCACCAGGCATGGCGACTCTGTGCTGCTCCCGCCCCTTCCTGCGTGCCGGATGCCTGGGTCCCAGCCCATCCCTGGCACGGAAAAGGCCGCTTGCAGGCGGCGAGAGCCTGCCTGGCCCTGTTGCAGCCCGGGTTGCTGTGCGGAGGCACAGGAAGGAGCTGGGGGAGCGGAGGGGGGGTGGTTCCGGCTGTGCAGGACTAGTTTCTGGAAATGCCTGTCTGTGTCCCTGTTTCTTCTGCCCTGGTGCCTTCTCCTCCAGGCTGCAGAGGTTAGCTAATCAGGAGAGACCTTGAGGCCGAGCAAGGTGCTCCTCTGCAAGAAAACTTTAGGGGTAAGACATGTGCTGAAGGCCCCTTGGCTTCCTTGCTCTGCCCTGCTTGCAGGGTTGGATGCCCGTGCTGGGTGACGGAGCGAAGAGAGAGAGACCTTGGCCGGGCAGCTGTGCTGCTACGCCGCTTACCTGTGACAACGGAGATCTCGTGTGCTGCCCTGGAGGGACAAACGCCTGCTGTTCTCGCTTTCTACACTGAGCTGTGCCACAGGTGCAGATGTCTGGTCCCAAACTGTGATCCCGCATGTTGCCAAGCCTCCCTGCTGTAGATGCTTTCATGCCTTGAGGCAGGAAAGGTGCATGAGCAGTGCCTTTTTCCCCTGGGGCATGAAACCAGAGGGCCTTCCTGAGGTAGGGGGAAGTTAGGCAAAAGGGACTAGGACTTTCCAAATAAACGGCTGCGAGAGGGACAAGGATACAGTTTGTGATAAGTACCTAACTCCAGCTTCTGTCTGGCTAGAAACCTTTCTGGCCCCCACTGATGGAGCTGCTGAGGTTTCCCACGGTCTCCATGCTCTTCTGCCTGCCCGTGTGTTTAGCTCTTTAACTGTCGCACCATGATGTGCAGCTGCTGGCTGGGCCTGATGCCCCTCTGGGGAAAGGAGTCCCTGCATGGAGGGCAGGAGAGGTTTGTTTCCCACCCCAGCAGTGTGTGGGGCAGAAACAGAGCCCACCATCTATGCTCATGGGGCCTTTGAAGAACTGAAGGCCTGTGGGGCAAGCGGGTCTGTGAAGGAGACTTCTGCTAAGGGTCCCTGTGAGCTTGGCTCTGAAGGAAGAGAAAACCAGGGAGATGTTCCAGGTGAGTAGCTCACCTGGTTGGAAAAGGGTGCCCTGCTCAGCCAAAACACTCCACTGTCCACTTGGAGACAGTCCCAAACTACCTGGTTCTCTAATGAGTCCCTACCTTGGTGTTTCCCCCTTGGTAGAGGGTGAGCAGTAGTAAATGTGCAAAGGGAGCTCACGTGGCCACCCTTCTACGATGGAGCTGAGGTCCGACACAGCAGACCCTCTGTCACACTAGCTGTTGGCCTTAATATCTCTCCCAGTTGTATACATCCTGCTTGCAGGTGGGTGGGTGACTCCAGGTGCCCAAGCAAAGGGACCCAAAAGGGATGGTAAGAGGTGGCCCTGGGCGCATAGTACAGCTGCTTCTGTACTTGGGCTGAGGCATGGATATGGAGTCCCCGGACATGGAGTTGCAGCCCGGATGAGCTTTAGGCTTGTATATTTTATTTCAGCCTCAGATCTGGGTTGCCTTCAGTGACAAACCCCCATAGCCCTGCTCTGCCCTGGAAGGTCACAGTGGTGGGAGGAGTTTCTTCCCTCTTGCCTGCTTTCTTTTCCTCATCAATCCCTTTCCAGACTGGTAGGTTTCCCCCTGTTTCTCTGGATGCCTTCAGCCTTTGCTCTTGGGATTATCAGGGGCCAGAGACGAGAGAAATCTCCAGTCCTTCTTGATAACCCACGTCATGAGGGCTGAATAGAGGGAGATGTGAAAACTGATCTTCCAAGGCAACTTGTTTCCAGACAGTGACTATGCCGCCTCTTCCAGGCCATGAGGCATCTCCCCAGCTGCACCTGCAGAGCTCTGAGATGAGCCCTGGAGCTACCTCTGCCCCCGAACCTGGCCATGCTCTGTTTCTCTAAAGGAGAAAGCAGAAGAGGAGAGGAAGATGAATGTGGCTGGGTTTCAGCACCTGTGTGTTTCCTTGCAGATCAGGAGCATGCCTTGTTGGTCAGACTGGACAAATAGCATAGGGAGGTCCTTAAGGTCCAAGAAGAAATCGTCTCTGGGTTCCATGCACATATTTCTAGACTCAGTGCCCTGATATAGGAGATGGAAAGGATGTGCCAGCAAGAGGAGGGAGAATTCCTGCAGGTGAGACTGTCTTTGTGGAGGTCACCCCAAACCTCTCCCAGGAAAGGAAGGGGGTTCAAGGGGCCTCAGCCAAACTCTGTCATGGGGCCAGAGCTGGTGTCCCCATGCCTTAGAAAGGGATGGGGAACTTTCAGGGTCACATTCCCTCCTGCCCTCTGGTCTTAGCAATGGGGAGGTGGATCTCCTCTGGGAACTCCCAGTGACCACTCCAGCTCTGCCTACAAGCCATGCTCTGCAGGGGTGATGACCCAGGCAGTGCCTGGATCTGGGGATAATGGCCGGAGTAGGATTTCTGTTTCTGGAACCACCCCAAGCAGAAGAGGACTGTTTATCTCTGCACCAGTATAGAAAGAAGGAGGGGATTGTGTTGGTGGTGAGGCAGTTCTGCAGAGGAGCCTTTCTGCAGCCCCAGGAACTGCTGGGCAGCATGAAATGGAGAAAGAACTTCGTGGTTTTTTGGTAACGCTTATAAGAGATTATCTTACAATATAATGTCATTAAAAAAAAAAAATTGGAGCACACCAAGTGCACAAGATCCCAGCAAGCAGGTTTTACTCAAGAGCATCCGCTGCTCACAGCAAGCGGGATCAGCAACGCAGGTCAGTGGCACAGCTGGAGGTGGGACCCTCTCCCCACCCAGAAGAAAGGGAAAATGCTCTCCCCACCAAACAAGGCCTTTTGGAAAGTAAAGATTGGGGGCTTTTGATCAGAGAAGTAAAATGCCACTTGCCCCTCTCCATAGTTCAGAGCCACCTTGATCCTCCTGGGTTTCCCACTGGCAGGAAAGGTGGTCGCAGGTGAAGTGAAGGCCTGGTATTGATTCCCACAGAACCCCATTGCCCAGATGCCCTTCTCAGGAAGAAAATCAACCCATCCCTCCCTCCTCACAGACTCCTTGGCCACCCCCACAGCCCAGGTCCCCCTGCCCCCCACCTCCACCTCCCAGCAGTGTCTCCCTGAAGTGAACCCTCGGCAGCTCAATATGCAGCAAGACGTGTCAAATCGCTGGGGTTTGGTGGGCACATCCTGCTGTGTAGCTGTCCATCTCACCCCTCTCCGGTCCCTGGACAGGATGAGCTGTGCATTGGCAGTGTCAGGATCCAGAGTCACAAATGCTGCCAGGGACAGAGGAAGGGAAAGGCATGAGTGTTAGAGGCAGATATCGCTTTGACCAAGCCCTGCTCTGAGTATGAGTGGAGACTTCTCTGCAGCTTTCTATTCAGGAAAGCTTTGCCAAGTCACATACTGGAGGACTGGACACAGTGCAACTGTGTCTTGGGGATGTCAGCAACTCCAATGTGAGCTTAATCATGATTTCTTTAAGCACCTTTTCTGTTGAGAATGACTTTCCCAGAGTCCTCCCTTGTGGCTACAGCTCCATGCAGAAGGAGACCAGCCTCTTTGGAAGCAGAAGGATGCTATCTGCAAAGAGACTCACCTTTTCTGTCTACTCCTAGAGATGGTCCTTGCTCTTTCTCCAGTTCAGATGGCAAAATGTCTGGGGGATGAAGAATACAAGAGCTAGGATGTCATGTTCTCTAGCTGGTAATTCTGCTTTCTCCTGCCCCAGATGCACTCATGTATTAGTGCTTTTTTTTTGTACCTTATAGCAGGGAAGGGGCAGCCAGAGCAGACCTCTCTTGAGCAGAGAAAATAACCTCTGATTATATTGATCATGATCCACAGTACCTTGAAATCTCCTCAACGTCTCTCCGAGGACAATGTTTTGCTGAGAAATAACACGGACTCTCTGTTCCAGGTCCAGGAAGGTCTCTGTTGGGCCCCAGGCACTGCCCTTCTCCCACCTGGATACAAACCGTTCTCCTTAGTCCTGGGATGCACGGCAATGGCACATGCATAGCCCAAGATAATGGGACTTTCCCTCCTCCCTCTGCTTCCCAGGTAACTTGGGGATGGTAGATGAGCCAGTTTCCTCCAAAAGGTCTGTCAGCCCCAGCCTTGGAGCTGCCAAGCCAGGTCTTGGGTCTGCAGGGCCAGAGATCCTGATGTTCTTATGGCCAAGAGAGACCTCTTGTTCTAAGGACACTTTCTCCTATGGCATCTCCACACTGGGGTTTAGTGGCATCTTCCTTGTCCCCACAACTCTCCATTCCTCTCTTCAAACCCTGCTTCAACTGCCAAAATTTTCATCACTGTTCCACAAGCCTCAGCCACAGCTCAGATGTTGCCCATGAGCCCTTCCCATGGCTCAGCATGCTAAAATGTGTGTGATAAAAGGGCACATACCTGTTCACAGTGCTTCTGGCTTCCTAGGACAGAAAGAGAGAAAAAGCCTCAGCTTCCCATCCCAAAATTAGGGAATGACTCCAGCCTCAGTTTGCATTCACCACCAATTTCTGCTGGAATTTCTCCCTTCCTGCCCAGATGCCCAGCAAAGTGTCCAACCTGCGTGAATTCACTCGTGGGTTGCTCAAGCCTCCTCTCCATCTCACAGATCAGGATATTCAGGAGAGAAATCTCCCCTGCCATCTTGATCTGCTCTTCCTCCTGCCTCCTCATGATCTCTTTGTCCAACTCTCCCAGTTGGGCCAGGAGGACAAGCTCTTGCTCCTTCAGAAACCGGCGCAGCTGCCGAAATTCAGACACGATCTTCTGCCTCTCCGCCTCTGTCTGCATCTGCAGGACACAAAGAGCACCAGGGAGAAAAGCTGGGCAGCACTGGTCCAACAGTACAACACCTCTGTTTTTTGCTGGGTGATGGCAATAACTATTTACCAAATAATCCTGCCACTGCTGCTCTCCACTCGCTTTCAGTTCTAACATCTCTTCCCTTTGCTTTTTGAGAATCTCCAAGTCTCTGTGAATTTTCTCCTGGAGGAAGAAAAATGATTTGGCAAAGGATGTAGGGAGAGCGGGGAAAGGAAGAAATATGATGCTTGAAAAAAGGGAAAACATTTACTTTTGCTGAGAAATAATTCACTGCACAGATATGAGGATTAATGAGAAGTCATAGGACAACAGAGGAGACCTCATCGTTTCTCCAGGAACAGAGTTTCATTCTCAGAAAACAGGTATTTTCCAATTTATTTTTAACTGATTTTGGGGTGAAGGGTTTGGTCCAAAAATTAATATTTTAATATTTTTAGCCAAAATAAGAGTTGCACATGCAACTCTAGCCCCCCTCCCCCCGAATATTTTTTCAATTTATTCATTTTTTGTGAAGGAAAAAAGAAAAAAACTGTATAGAGAACTGTAAAGGAAGCTGACTTGAAGCCTGTGAGAAGCTCCAAGAAACTAAAGCACCACTTAAGGTGGTCAAAAACCTCGCTTTCAGAGAGCAAGAGCCCAAGCTCAGTCATGGACCTGACCGTGTCCTCCTGGACAGACTCTGCTACATAGGCTGTAGCGGGAACTTCATGAGCCTTTTGCCCATCATGGCTTGAGGAAACTTCTTTTACATCACCCTTGCAGATGAATGTCCTATTGCGCCACAAGCAGAGCTGCTCCTTCTCCTCTCTGCCTCCTCCTAGACCCAATAGCTTCAGCTTTTCAACTAAATTTGTCAGGTGGAGTTTTGCTTGGAAATTCCCTTTCCGGAGCCGGCTTCTGTGGGTGGCTCCCTCTGCAGCTCCAAGCCTTCCTTGCTCTTGCCAGGATCTGGCTGTGCAGCTTCCACAGCTGTTGGATTCACAGCACAGGTTCCCAGGATCTGGCAGCTGTTGCAGGACAGTGTGACGTGTGGCTTCCTCTCCCTCTTCCCTTGTGCTAGATGAATTGGAGGCCATGGCCACTGTCTCTCTAGATTGCTCCTAGCTGGTCTTGTTTCTCTGTCCCTTGCTATGTGCTGTGGAGTAAAAATATAAAAGATCTCACTATTAGTGGAAGAAGGAGGAGCAATGGAGGAAAGTTTTGGAAGTTTATTTTAAGAAGGGAGGAAACAAGCCTATTTCTTTTACTGATGGTGGGGTGACTGGTCTGAATTTTGATGTTTGGGCATTTGGTGTGAGGTTCTTGTCATCTAAATGTAAATCTTCATTGTGGGTGTTGGCATCTCAGCTTGGTGTCTCCCTTCCCATGATAGCCAAAGGAAAATGAGTCAATAGCTCCAGTTTTGCCAAATCCCACCCCAGTGGCTTACATCCCCAGGGTCCCATGCTTTCCAGCATAGATAGCTCCAAAGCAGAGGACCCTTCGGACAGCAGAAGCTCCAAGGACAAGGGCTGTCTCCCCTGACTCTAGATCTCTGCAGTCCATGAGACTGCAGCCACACGATCCCTCTTGAGAAGCTTGCTTAGCACAGACATCCCTCCACCAAGCAGGGTGAAAAATGAACTTATACACCCCTCCACCCTCCTCTAGGCTCTTGAAAGGATGTCTCAGCAATGCCAGGGTCTCTTTGCTGTAACGTCCCCAAAGACACTTACCTGTTATGCACCAGCACAGGAAGCTCTGCTGCCCGATGGTCCTTACCAGTTTTCAAAGTGGGGGGGTGATTTAGTCCACCGGGTTCCTCTGCAGCCGCCCCGGTGGGTCACTGCAGCGCTGTGAGAGCCGAGAGGCAGATCACGTGGGGCACAGAGGGAAATATCAGCCCTATTTAAGGAAACGCGGAGAGGAATGCTCTGCCTGGTGTCTCCATGCCAGCGAAAGGCTCACAGTTGACCCTCAGTGGATCAGTCTCCCTCATGGAGACTTGGGCCAGATAAAGCTTTGGACTGAAAAATGCTTCATTGGTTTTGGCTATAGGAGAAAATTTCTTTGGCTGCGGGGGGTGATTGGGCATTTGTCACCACGCAGCACAGGGACCACGTGTTGATTTCCCCCGCGCAGGGAAGGACGTTGTCTTCTCTGCGGTGTTAGCCACCTTGACAGTCACGTAGTGGATTTTTTTAATTATTTCCCCCCCTCACATTTTTGTCTGCTGCTTTAAAGCAGGGAGCGATGGTATTTCAAGCTCCTCTTAGCTACCTGTCCTTTAATCTCAAGAACAAACGCAGGGTGGAAGGGATGTTTCCTAGCAGGGCAAATGGACATTGATTTTCACAGACAGTTGGGGGGGAAAAAGAAATTAAATTTTCTGCAGCGTCTCAAATGGTTTATTGTTAGCTGGTAACTACTAGTTCGCCTTTGCGTGGTGGTACAAAAGACAAGATTTAGTGCTATGCAGGTGGCTAAGAACAAGCAGACATTGATGAGGGACTCATGATAGCTGCTAAAGTGCAGTGGGATGTATAGAAAGGTGAAGTCCATAGTTTCCTCCCTGACCCTAGGTGATGTCTTCTAATCACCTGTCTCCCGACACAGCTGGCTCCAAGCACCGGTTTGACGACACCTTGAATCTAGTCTTTGGGCTCCCAGTACCTCATTGGAAACTTCATGGCAACATAATGCAGAGCTGTGCTCTGGCGTAAGCTTCTTCGAGCCTTAACTTTGTACAGTCTGGCTGTCCGGCACCCCGGTTTTCATCTGCGAGCATCATGCCAGCTTGGTGCTTCTCTTCTCCCAAAGGCAACCCCAAGGCACAGAGCTGAGCTAAACATGGATTCCGGGTCTCTGGCTAACCCACCTGGAATACCACCCTCTGCCCAGGCCAAATTTGAGTCAAATTAGTCCTGCCAGAGGACCTGGCTATGCCCAGCTCCAGCATAAATATTATGCGACCGATGGCTTGACCAGCAGCAGGGTGGCTGGTGCATTTAGGAAGAAAACCTGCAGCAATGTTGGAGCATGACGCTGAGAGCATGGACCAGGCACTGCGAACTGTAAGTAGGAGACATGGGGCTGAGACTAGGCAGACCTGAAGTCACTCCACACAGAGCAAGGATGTGCAGGAGGGGGGCTGCCTTTTCTTTGCACGATAGCTTTGGGGCTCTTGCCTGGGAAGGGGTTTCAGCCTCCGCTCAACCCTGAGAGCGTTTCTATCCTGGGCTCCAAGAGCTGCTCTTAACCACCTTCCTACTAAAGCGTCTGGATGGGGCAAGATCCCTCCACCGCTCCTCCTGCCCCAGGGCCACCCTCTCGCCACCAGAGCTGAACTGTCCGCCCAAAGAGGAATGCAAGAGTCATCGGACCAGAGAGAGCGAGCCCAGCTCTACCCAGAACCACGGCCGGATCCGCTCCCCGGCAAAGGAGGCTGGTGGAAAAGCGAAGATTGGTGCTTTGTTCTCGGCATCAAAAAACGCCACCTCTCCCCACTCATAGTCTAGAGACACCCGGATCCTTTTGGGGACCCGTGGCAGGTTAAGGAGAGTTGGAGGGGAGGTGAGGGCCCGGTTCTTAAATCCCCACTGCTGCACGGCCCAGATCCCTTCGTCGGGATTAAAACTGATGGCTCCTTTCCTCCGAAGCGACTCCCGGCTGACTCCGACGGCGCAGTACAGCCCCTCTGCTATGTCCACCTCCCAGTAGTGCCTGCCGGAGGTGAAGGCCTCGCAGCCCAGCACGCAGGGGTCGGCGTCAAAGCGTTCGGGGCAGTCGGGGGGCTCCTGCAGCAGGTATTCCCATCTCACGCTTTTCTGGTCCTTGGACAGGATGAGGTGCGGGTGGGCCGTCTCTGGGTCCAGAGTCACGTTTGCTGGGGCAGAGGAAAGGGAGGGAGGGAGAGAGAATGAAGCTATTTAAACTGCCCTTCTCTGCGGGGGAGGGGGGTCTGATGTCTTCTTGGAAATCTAATGGGAGAAGGTGTGAAGGGGTCGGTCTCCATCCCTAATGGAGCTGGACCGAAGTGCAGGAAGGAAGGGGGTTCCTGGGACCAGGCAGACACCAGTCTCCTTGTGTAGTGGTGGTTCCTCCTGGGGCAAAGCCTCTCGGGGACCTCTCTACCCCTCTTCTGACCTCCTGCTCTCACACGGTGAGCTCCCGAGAGGTCCTCCAGTCACCATTGAGAGTGCCAAATTACTTACCCAGTTTTTCATCGTGTTTCCCTAAAAAAAAAGTACAATAAAAATATATTATCGATGATGTGAACTTAAAACTGAAAACAAAAGTAGCATCTGTAGAAGGGAGCAAGAGGCACTTACTATGTTCTTCAATGCATTTTCCTTAATAAAAAAGAAAGACATTAAAAATGTTTTTAATGATGGTTTTTCCAGCCTGAAGATGTCTGTAGTTCATGCTAACTTATTTCCCTCCTCCCCCAAAACGCTCTTTCTTCTCCTAACATGAGATTAAACCCTTGTGAGATAAGAGCTCCCTGAGACTTGAGTCTGTGCCACAACTTGCTGCGGAAGTTAAACCTAGGAAAAAATTACAGCTGCTTTAGACACAACCAGAAGAAAGACAACTAGGTCACACTAGCAATGTCTGCTACAGTTGGAGGGCGCTGCTCATATAGTTTGCATAGGAATGAAGGTGTGTGCTTGTTCTGGAAATCTGTGACCATTATAGTCTCCCTGTGTGTTACATATGTGATGCTGCAGCTCATCTTTTAAGTTATAAGGAAGTTGAGTGGTTGTTTGAAAGACAGATGCCTGGACTTCACTTTCTTAACAGAGGAATGACAAGGTTTGAGTTTCCTTTTCTATGGCGGGTTGTCATTCGTCCTTTCGTTGGTTACTGGGAGGACTATTCATTCTGAACTCTCATCTTGCTGAAGAAAAAGACCTTCTATCGCTTCTCCACTTCTCAAACCAGTTTGTGAACTGCCACTAACAAAAATACAAAGTATCTTCTCCTTTCATATTTTTCTAAGACAAAAATCTCAGAGCCCATCTCTTCCAAAGCCCCCAAATCTCACAAATGCTCTGCTTCTCCAGAAAGTAAGGAAAATGACACTCACTCATTTTTGCTTTGTATTCCTCTGAAAAGAGAAACGATAGAAATGGTTATTGGATATCTCTTTGTGTTGTGGCTTTATATGGCTTTTATTTCTGTGCCTACTCACTACTATTGTTTGCATTGATTATTATAACTCAAAATGCATTTGTCTTTCCTACGTTATTCCCATTAGCCCAAATTTCCATAAAAATCCCCAAAGTAGCTCAGGAAAAGGCATAACTAAGAGATGGGGGAGGGGGAGGAGATGAGACAGAGACTTGTGTATCTTTGTTTCATTTAATAAAAAAAAAGTGACTTACCAAGCTCTGCAGTAAGTTCATCTTAAAAGATGGAAAGAAGAAATAATTTCCATTAGGATGTCTTCAGGCAAATAAGAGCAACTTAAATGACTGTTACTGAGGGGCAGATTTCAGCTCCTGGCACTAAATTTTGCAACTTTGGTTTCAGGTGAACGATCATCATCAAATTACTGCTTCAGTGGCAATGAAAACTCAGGTGGCATGCCTAAAATGCCACGCTCCTGTTCCTCTTGCAGGTTTTGCCCTCATCTGTGGCACAGATTATATAAAAAAAATATATATATATATTTTTTGCCCACCTGAAGTTTACTTCTCAGGGAAAAAGTATGATACTCACCAATTTTTCTATCACGTGCTTCTAAATAAAGGGAAAAAAAAGTGGCTAATATAAAATCTACGACTGAATAAAAACAAAATACAGAGCCTAAATCATGTGTATTTGTTTTGCTGGAGGGCAGAAAAAATACTTACCGACTTCTGCAGAGAGTTCATCTTAAAAGAGAGAAAAAAAATAGTAGTTTTTCATTAACTCTCTCTTACTCTATGCATATATACTTAACAGGTATGCCATCTATAATGCAGTCCTCTAGATTTAGCTTAGATACCGTTTTCACACTAGTCTTGAAAAATTCCAGTTGTGGGTGTGTGAAATCCATGGAAGTCGGTGCATGAAATCACGACTTTCATTGCAAATGCAGGAACAATGATGAAACTATTGTATCTATTGCTCTTCCTTTTTTTTTTTTTTCCTGCGATAAACCTTATGGGATTGCCTTACATTTGTTATTTCTGAGGCTAAAAAGGCCAGACCAAACCCTCATCCAAATAATCCTAAATGACTTTGTAAAGCCTACAAACGCACTTCGGATTTGCTATCCTCAAAGGAAGGAGATGGACACGTACCAATGTTGGTATCACGTTCCCCTGAAAAAGGAAAAACAGAGGAGAAAAAAAAAAATCTGAAGTTATTTCTACGTACTTCCCCCTTTTTTTTGGTGCATGTTCATCATCTAGAGGTAAAGATGATTTTTTTTTTTCAGGCTGTATAGAGAATTATGAGTATAATTCCCATTTTGCCTCAGCTTTTATATAGCTTAACCCGTCCCCTAATTTTCTTGTTTTTAAATCTTCTATCAAAGATCACACTTACTCCTAGCAAAGCCCAAACTAAATATAAACATGGTATTCACAAAGAAAAAAAAATCCTTCTTTTTTTTTTTGATTTTGTTGAAGGAGAGGAAAAAAAAACAACCAAAAACTTACTGAGCTCTGCAGTGAGTTCGCCTGGGAAGAGAGAAAGGAAAACTGGTTTTAATGATGAATGTTTGTCCCTCTGCAGCAACACGGCTGTACGGGGAAAGCAAAGCGAAGCAAGCGGCAACCACAACGCAAGGTTTCCTGAACAGTCTTCTCATCTCATACTAAAGAAAGACGTCTAGTTCAGAAAAATAGTTGCACCTCCGCAGGCTTTTTCACGCCTCTTAAATGCACAAAGCAGCAAACAAATGAACCACAGGAAAGCACACTTACCGATCTGCGTATTCCGCGCTTCTGAAAAAAAGCAAGAATAAAAAAAAAATTGTTAAAAGTAGCCCCCGCCCCTTTTTTTTTTGCAGTTTTTTTGTATCAGCTACAAATTCCAATTTAAACATTCCTCCTACAAAACTGAGGTTAAAAAGAAAAAAAAAAGTGAAACTCAAACTAATGCAAAAAAAAAAAAAAGACACCGTGAAACTCGAACTAACGCAAAAGATTTGAATTTAGAAAGAACGAAAAGGGAAAGGACTCACCAAGCTCTTCAGTGAGCTCCGCTTAAAGGAAAGGAATAAATGCTGTTATTAGGATCTCATTGCTCAGTGGGCACAGGGTTAAATGGGAGATTGTCAGGGAGGAAAAAAAAATAAAAACTCCCTTAATTTGAAACAGCGTTTGCTAATGTTAAACTGAAATAGTCCTGTGAACTTGGGGAGGGTTGAAAGATTTTGAGAGCTCGACAGCAGTCTCATGAGCTCTCCTACTATGAGAGCAACTAGGTGGGAACGGTGCAGGAATTGGGTATTTAAGGGTGGAAGAAGAGCCATCATGTGGTCACCACTTAGCAGGCACCCAAAAATGCCAGCAGAGATCCAGGAAAAAGAGTAAAGCATTCATGAGTACAATACCCACCTATTTTTCTATCACGTTCCCCTAAAAACAAAGGAGAAAAGGATTTAAAAAAAAAAAGATTAAAATAATTTGAAAGTCTCTGTTGATGTTAAAAAACAATCAGAGAATGCTCTTTCCCCAGCTACCTGTTCATTGTTAGTTATTATCATGTGAAATTCCATTTTTGGTGATGGTTATCGCCCTCCATCTAAGCCCACAGTACCTGCTGCATTAAAATTAATCTCTGGGCCACAAGGAAAACAGGCAGAAAGCTTCAGAAAATTGTCATTATTTGCTTTTATCAAGGAATTAAAAAAAAAAAAACACATACCAAGGTCTTCATTGACTTCATCTTAAGAGAGAGAAAAGCACAGATTTCCATTAGAACCTATTTATTCCATGGCTCTTTTCTCCCCTCTATAGATAGGGCTTCTCAGCCTTTGAGATGACCTAAATTTCTTCCACATTAAATGATGGAGAGCAATGTACAAAGTGTCCTTCCCAGCAGGGGACGGGACAGTTTAAAAATTAGAAGCAGCTGAGTGACAGTTATGGGATTCTTGTACCACGGTCCCCTAAACCCAAAAGATTATGGGGGAAAAAAATTGAATTTATATCTAGGTATTTCTCTCCCCTCTGACTGGGAGATACACCGATGTAGTAAGCATCATGATGATGTAAAACCTAGTTGGATTTGAACATTTTCCAGTCTTAAACTTAGCTCACATTTTCCAATTCCTCTGTGTAGGGAAACCAGATTACAAAGCAGCCTTTTCTTCTGACCAAATTCAGATTAATTCAAAAAAAACAGGAAAAAAAAAAGGTGAAAATACATTCCCTGTATTTGCTTTTGTCAAAGGAAGGAAACAACTTACCAAGTTCTTCAGTGAGTTCATCTTAGAAGAGATAAATAGAAATGATTTCCATTAAAAACTAGTTTTCCTGGCCAATGGAATTTGTTATTTATAAGGGGATAGTCCGGCCTCTCGCTAAAAAAACCCCACGTTTTCTGTGGTGCTTTGAAAAACTCATATCATATATGAATATGTGACCATAAGCCCGCCCGCTCATGGACTGCTCCTCCACGGTCTCATCTCAAGGAGGACCCACCTTCCTCTTCCTCCTCCATTTTCTATTGCACATCGTTATGGCTATGCCCTACGGTTAGTTAGCGAATCTGAGCGAGCCTCTTTGTCAAAACCTCCACGTTTCTCCTCTTTTTGCAGTTTCCCTGCTCAGCTGGAGGACTAACCTTCCAAAGCTGCTTGCAAAGCATGTCTCTTTTTTTTTTTTAATTAAATATCAGAGCAACTCCTGCTCCAAAATAATTTTCCTCACGCCGGCCCTCTTTAGGGGCATTCAATCAATCAAGGAGATTTTTCTGTCTTTGCAGGAAGGAGGATGATGCTTACCGCTTTCTAGCTCACATTCCTCTGCAAAGGGGGGGAAAAAAAGAAGAAAAAAAGATTCTTATTTAGCCCTATCTTTTTAGTTGCATTTCTTTTCCAGACCTTATTTGGATTCATTACCATGATCTCAAATGAACTGGTGACTTATAATGACTATACACCAGTTAGGTCTTTTAGAAAAAGATTTAAAAAAATAAAAATCAAGCCACCTCCACCTGACATGCAAGCAACGCGAGGGTCTGTTCCTTTGTCAACCAAAGGAAAAAGAAGAAAAAAAAGAGATTTACCAAGCTCCTCAGAAGATTCATCTGCAAAAGGAGTGAGAAGAATTGATTTGCATCAGGACCCTTAGATACAGACCTTCACAGACAAATTTTGTGTGCAATTTTAAGTGTTAAATATAAACCAAAGCAAGCTGCACCAAATCCCAGCTGATGCACTGGGTTAGGATTTGCAAAGGACAACTTCAGAAAGCATGACTCCTATATTTTTTGTTTTAGTTCCATAATTACATTAGATTTTAGTCTGGAATTTTTTAATATACGTGTCTATATATGTGTGTGTATATATGTATTTTTTTATATATGTCTATATATTAAAAACACGCACACATATACATGAATAAAATACTGTATAATTACAAACTCCCTTGCAACTGCCTAATTTTTAACATGGGAGGGAAAATATCACTCACCAGCTTCCAGATCTTTTAATTCCCCTAACAAAAAAAGAAAAAAAATGAAAAGTTAAATGTGAGGGGTTTTTTTGTATAATGTATTTATGTAACAAGATACAAGATCATTGCTATTCCATCGCTATATTTTCCTGTGCGTTATTGTTATATCTAAGTCATCTGTGTTAACCCTCTACCCATATCCTTCTAAAGTTATATTAAAAAGCATTCACAGCCAGTCAAATAGAAGCACGAGAGGAAAGAAAAAAAAAAAACCTAAAAATTCCAAAACTCCGTTCTGCAAAAGTAACAAAAAAAACAGCTTACCAAGCTCTTCCGTCAGTTTTCCTTAAAAAAGAAAGAGTAATATTTGTTCTCGTCAGCATGTTTCCAGTTCGAGGGAACGCAGGGAACTGCTTATGACAACTGAGCACCCTGAAGGGATCACAATTCTCGGGAAACACGAATGACACTTACGGATTGTGGCGTCCCGTTTTCCTAAAAAGAATACCGAAAAATGAATATAAGCGGGGACATATAATTTTCTCCAATGTTATATCTTTGCGACATACAAGATCGGCAGAAGAAATTCATCCCGCCTAGCAAAAAACCCACTAATTTTGCGTGTACAGCTACAGAGGTTTCTCCTTTTTTTCTTTTTTGGACCGAGGAAGGAAAGGAACTCAGCAAGCTCCGCAGGAAAGTTTATCTTTACAAAGGAAAAAGGAAGGAGGGAAGAAGGGAGGTTAAGTGCTGCCTTACTGCTTATGAAGTTTCATTATGATCCTTGCCGGGCGAGACCCCAAAAGTTTGGGTACGTGGCTGCAATGAAGGGAGATGCCGCGCGATAACAACCCGCAAATTTAAAAATAAAAACACACACAAGCAAATGCACTTACGAACTTGTGAGTCGCGGTCCTCTGCGAAAGAACAGACAGAAACAGAACCGGTTACCAAAAGCTCTGCGTCTTTTCTGCCGCATTGCTCTAAAACCTCCCTCTCAAAGCCTTGGCTCCAGCAATGCTTCGTTTTCTGACTATCGAGCTCTTTTTTTTTTTTTTTTCCCCCTGAATGATAAATGGTAGCGCGTCTGCAATTTAGCAGCGTTTCTGTTAAAACGTCGAAAAAGCCGTCGCTTCAGCTACATAAGCTGAGCTCATGTGTTTGCACATTGGATTTACTGCTGGAGATAAGGAAATGCACTTACCCAGCAGCTCAGTAAGCTTCCCTTAAAGCAAAGAAAGAAATATTAGTTACAAGCAAAGCTCTTTTACTTTCACGGCTATACATAACTAAAGGACAGGAAAAAGCACGGGAAAATGTCACTTACTTATTTCCGCTTCATGCTCCCCTAAAAGACAGAATAATCGGAATTAATAATTAATATCGACTGCTTTTGTTGTATCGTTGTATCGTCAGTACAACTCTTCCGGCCCTTAAATGATTTTATTCTGCTTAGCACAATCGCTACCTTTTGTTTAAAAATGTATCTTGCCTAGGCCTAAATTAATGCTTTTCAAAAGGCCAAAATAAAAACAGGCGCAAGGAACCTGGAAAATACAAATGCGATGCAAGGCACGGATGTCCAAAAAGGGGAGGAAGGAAAAGGGCACATCCAGCACCCCTGTGAGCGCTCTTGCATAGCAAAAAGAGCAAATATTAGGGCTTTATTATTGCATATGTTGGCTGTTGCTTTCTGTAGCCTGTTATATTCCTCCTCTTCCTCCTGGGCAGACACAAGCTCATGTCGTCCATGATCTCATCAATAAAAATAGCAAACGAACCATGAGCACCGGGATAATGTTAAGCGCAGAGACGCGGCTCGGGGGTGTCAAAGGCTGCACAAAAGGCGACCGGTACTTACTGATTTTTGCATCGCGCTCCTCTGAAAAACGAGAGAGAGAAAAATAAATTAGCATGCCAATCTCCTCTCCCCTCCTGCAATTCTGCCCTACAAGCACTGCAGAAATCACGCTCTGCACAGGGTTTATTTTCATTTTTCCATCAATAGCATTGCTTTGAAACTATGTTTTGGGGGGAATATTCAGTCTTCTTGGCCTTTGCCAAGTACTTATTCCTGAGCCAGATTAAAACAGAAACTCCGCCTTCCATCCTTAAAAATCAAAAACTGCAAACAATTCATTTTGACCAAAGCGGGAAAATTCTTACCAAGTTCTGCCGCACTTTTCCCTTAAAAGGAGAGAAATAAACAGGAGTTTGAGGAAATGCCTCTCATCTCAATGACATAACAGACCATCATAAAAATTTCTAGCTTAACCTCCTGTTCTGCATATATTTTTCTATATGAAATGATAATATTGTTTATACATTAAGTCAAAGTTGGTTGAAATGTGGACAAACATGAACAGATTTAATTAGTTTTTTATAGAAAGGGAGACAGCAGTGGGGGGAGACAGGTGAGATAGAGGTATCAGGTAGAAGAATTTCTGCCATCATTTTTCTTTTTACAAATCCTGATTGCCTTAGGCTGACTACAAACATAAATCCACAGAAATGATTAACACTAAAAACCCCAAGTGACCGTGACATAATTTTTTTTTTTTGGTTAGTTTTCCCCAAGCCGCTGGTGGTAGGCAGTTTGGATGCTCTCCTCCCAGGGCACACCTTTCACAAGTAAAACACAAAACTAGCCACTCTCGTGACGGTCATTTTGAACACACCAAAACGCCTAGAACAATTTTCAGGCTTAAGTCACATAGGAAAAAAAAAAAAATAAGGCACTTACGAAGTTTTCTATCACAGTAGCCTAAAAATAAACATAAATAAATGATTACTAAATTCTTCATTGCCTATCCTGATATATTATTTCCAAAGTCAAGACTAACAGGAGAATGACTTACCAACTTCTGCAGTAAGTTCCCCTTAGAACAGAGAAAAGAACAGTTATTTTTAAGTTTTTCTGTTTTCCTATATGAGTATGCAGGCAATGGCTGCTAATTTATGGGTTTGAGCTCCTCTTGACCCCCCAACCCATACTATGCAGAGGGTTCTTTAAAAAAAATTGCTTTGTTTCAGAGCCAAATTGCAGGAACCGTGTATGCATGATCCTTCTGCAATTCTTAGGTGTCTACGTTAACTAAAGCCCCAATCTTTCACTTGGAAATACATACACATGTTATATGCACATGTCTATATAAAAATTGTGTGCACTCGCTTAAACGAGGCACACAAACAGCTTTTTCAATAACTAAATTTATGCAGAGATTTGCTGGAGGGCAAAAAGCTTACCTATTTTTGTATGACGCTCCCCTAAAAATAAGAGTAAAATGATCGTATGTTATTTTCCATGGTTTCTGTCTTTAGCAAATCACGTCCCCGTATCTTTGTTCCTGTAGTTCAGCCTACAAGGTCATTTCTATTCTAGCCCAAGTTATCCCTGTTTGCAATTAGTTCTGCATTGCTTCGGGGTTTTAAATTTCTGTAATTCTGCCTTGAAGACCCTGCTTTTCGCAAGGTAGATGAAACGCGTACATATCAACAACAACAACAACAAAAAAAGCAAGAGGACTTACCAAGCTCCACAGTAAACAACCCTTAAAACAGAGAAAACCGTATTAGTTCCCACTGAATTTCCCAAACTCCCCATCACCCGCCGAAGCTTCATCCCTCCAGCCCGTCTCAGGTCTCCCCACGTGAATTTTCCCCCATTGGTTTTCCTTTTTCTCCCTTAAACTTTGGTTTCGTGCTTTCCACGAAACCCAAGAAGTCACCACTTCTCGAGGCCCAGACTCAGCCGGCTGTGAGAAAGTCCAACGTTTTCAGCACTTTCGGGGCTGCAACATGGGCCACCCCATCGCCCCCCAGCTCGCCGGGTGCTCCCATGCACCAGGCTGCGGCAGAGGAGGAAACGTCACTTACTGATGGTTGCATCGCACTTTGCTAAAAACGATAAAGACAAAGGAGGGATCAATCAATATTCAATTATCCCAAATTACCTTTTGTTATGAAATCGACCCCCATTAGCTCCCAGACCTCTCAGACCGACCAAAAGGCAGGCAAAGCTCCCAGCCCTTTTCACAAAGGGCAGGCTGACAGTTTTCCCGTGAATAGGGAAGAAAAATACTTACTGAGTTCTGCAGTGAGTTTCCCTGAAAAGAGAAAAAAAAGAATGTTAATTTGAAATAGTTAAATGCTAATTTTAAATAATTTTCTTTCCTCCCTGGACCCGTAAGAGGTAATTATCTGGCCTAGTCTAACAGAGTGTCCTAGAGCAGTCTAATGTAATGCAGATAAATTGTAAGGGAAACCATGCTGAAAGCATCGAGTCAAATAATACATCCATTCAGGAGCAATGCAAGGGGTTGAGTAAAGAAATGCAGGAAGACTGAGAAAACAGGAGACGGGGGAGAAGACACATGAAACACACCCAAACTGGAGCAAGATGCACCTTTACACCAAGATTTTAGTTGTCAGAAGAACGTCACTTACGGAGACTCGAGTCTCTGTCCCCTGAATGGAAAAAACAGAACAAAACCCATTTTTTACACAATGCTGCCCTCTTCCTTTGAGATAGCAACTCTACTGAAGTCAAAGCTCGGAGAATTTCGGTTGCAAAGCCAGTTTGCCCCTTTTCCTAACTACAAAAAGCAGTCTGCGTCTTTGCTTCAGTTTGCATTTTTGCGAGGAGCAATGAAAATGCCCGACTCTACCGGGGTGCAACGGCAGATGTCCAAGGGAGATCCCCAACCCTTGCCTGGACATGGCCTTCAGCAACCCCAGCCCACCGTGGCGTGAGCTCTAGTGAGCCCCGGGAGGTTGGACCAGAGATCTCCAGAGGTCCCTCCAAGCTAATTTCATAAAATTATGCAAAGATTCAGCTGAAACATCAGCTCCATGGGCAGTTCCGTACAGAAGAGAGAGAGAGAAGAATGCCTTACCAAGCAGCGCATTGAGTCTACCTGTAAAAGAGAAGAAAAAATACATTAGTTTTAAGTAAAACAATAAAAACTGAATCAAGGAAAGAAGAGTTTATTGGCATTAAACTGTCCATCTTTTATTTTGAAAGGAAGGAAAAGGACTTACGTATTTCTGCTGCGAGCTTGGCTGCGAAGAGAAAGAACAATATCCATGTTTGTTAGGATGCTTTTTCTCTGCGGCCATATGGCAACGGGCTGCTGTGACTAGGGGCACATCTGCCTCCGGGACCGCGTTTGCATGGGGAAAAGTCTGACAAAGTTGGGGTGAAAGCCCCTGGAAATGACCATATCTAAGGAGCTTGGATCAGAGCACAAGCAAATATGCTCCCACCCCAACGGCTTATGGGCTGTGGGTTAGAAACTTGGCAGCTAGTGGCTTTCAAAGAGTACTAAGGGCTGGGCAGGAGAATGGGACACAAAACGCAGCTTTATATATATGCAGGGAAGAAAAGCAAAAGAGGCTCTGGGAAAACGCAGAAGCCCGTGGGTTTCTACCCTAAAGACACAACGAAGAATGACACTTACTTATTTTTCTATCGCGTTCCTCTGGGAAGAAAAGAGGGAGAGAAAAAAGTTGAAGTCATTATTAAATACGTCTGTCTCTTTTGTGCATAGCTCTGTAGCATTTCTAGAGCCCGCACATCAAGGATATTCATCCCCACTACTGCCTTTATGTTAAAGATTATAGTCTGAAATTATGCTTTGTTGTAAACTTTACTCAGCTCAACACAAACCTACACTCGTTTTTTTCCTAAAATGAGAGGTGATTGCCTTCGTCTCTCACCAAGGAACATGAGCAGGAAAGGACGCAACAGAAAAAAGGTGATTCTTTCACAGGCTGAGACTCTGAGGGTGGTTCACTAAGTGCTTTGTGATCCACAAACGCCTGGACCAAGACTTTTCTGCTCTTCACATGCCTTTGAGTCCAGGGGAGGACCACGGAGATGATTTGGAGGATGGAGCAAACGGCGTATGAGGAGAGGCTGCGGGAAGCAGGTGCATTTAGCCTGGGAAAGGTCAAGGCAGATCTGTCTAGTGGGGGTTATAGAGCAGCCTGGGGCAGGCTCTTCTTGGAGGGACCCAGTGACAACCTAGGAGGTAACAGGAGCAAGTTGCAGCAAGGGAAATCCCAAAGGGATATCAAGAGGAAATTCTTCTCAATGAAAATGGTGCAAGCCTAGGACAGGGTCCAGGAAAGTGGTGGCTCTCCATCCTCGGAGATCTTCAAAACTCAACTGGACGCAGCCTGGAGCAACCTCCTCTCTGAGCCCTGCTCTAAGCACAAGGGTGTGCTTACGACCTTCGGCGGTCCCTTTACGATTTAAAGCTTTCTACGATTTTGTGAGGATTTAGACTTATCCCGTCAGCGCTTCTAAGGGGAGAAAAATATGCATTATAATCCTAATGCAAAGTGTGGGAAGTCGTCCACAGAAAGAAACCCCAACGGTTTTGAAGAATGGAAACTAATTTGCAGTAGAAAAAACTTGCTCTGCTCTTCTCAAAGACAAAACAGCAAACACGTGCCCTGCACGGCACCCTTCCAAAGCACTCCTAAACACACATACAGGCTCAAGTGCATCTGTCATCGGGCTGAGCTTTAACTGTGCAGAGAAAGGGGAATGGTACTTACTGATTTTTATATCACACTCTCCTAAAAAATAAGTAGAGAAATAAATAAGGAGAAATGCATAGCGACTGCTCCTGTACCCCATTCGCCTCTTGTAGTGCTCTGTCTTCACAGCACCAAACTCAAACCCGGCAGAAATTTTATTCCACGGACGCCTTCCTTTATAGTGAGCCTTATTTTAAAATACTCAAGAAAGAGTTGCCCTTCATCCCTCCCGTTTCTAAAGCAGATGGAGACAGATAAACTCGTCAAACAGCCTTGACATTTTTTTTTAACAAAGCATTTTTGCATAGTTAAGGATGACTTTCTGTTTATCGAGGAAAGAAAACTCCTTACCGAGGTCTGATGCAAGTTTCCCTTAAACCAAAGAAATAGATGAGCGTTAGTTTTAAGCAGCGCTTTCTCCCTGACAACAGCCTGGCTGATGCTGCGGCTGGTGTTGCCTTAGGCACTGACGGAGATAAAAGAAAACGGGACTGCCTCCGCAGGTGACGTTGGTCAGAGGGGTGACTCGTAGGCAAAAAGCCCAAATCCTGCCGCTTCGGCAGCTTTCGCGTGGGTTTTTGGTGTGAAACTGTCTCGCTTGCTGCTTCCCCCCCGCCACGATGAGCTAATAACCAGATCCCAACCGCGTAGACGCGCTCGGGGCGATGGGGCATCGCCCAAGGCTTTTGCCGCTACGAGGAAAGAAAAGGACACTTACTGATTTTTCTATCGCGTTCCTCTAAAAGAGAGAGGAGAAGAAATATCAGTCTTCATTAAGCATGCACCAGCTCGCCTCTGTTCCTATGTCATGCCGTGAATCTCACGCCATCTTCCCCCCACCGGTTTTTTTTTTCCCCCCTGGGGATTATAATTTGAAACTTGAGTTTTGTTTCGAATCCATTTGCTTTATTTCTAGCCCAGACTGGGTGTATACGGGTCGCGTATGTGTGTGCAGGGGGGGGCAGGGGTGGGATGATAACCCCCTCTTCCCCCTAAAATATAAACGGAAATCACTTACCAAGCTCTGCCGTCAGATTGTCTTAAAAATAACAATAAAAATAACAATAAAATAACAATAAAAATTAAAATTAAAATAAAAATAAAAATAAAAATAAAAATAAAAATAAAAATAAAAATAGAAATAACAATAACAATAACAATAACAATAACAATAACAATAACAATAACAATAACAATAACAATACAAAAATATACACGTAGGGTCAAGTGCGAACCCTATAGCGGATGGGACTGGGCACGCGGCTTTCCCCAGAGTTTTGCAGCAGCCTCTAGGCTAAACCCCGACTCCTCACGCAAGGTTCACTGAACAAGAAATCCCCTCTTCGGACTCGGTTCGACAAAGGTAAGAAAGCGACACTTACCTATTTCTGCATTTTCGGCCCCCCCCCAAAAAAAAAAAGAAAAAAGAAAGAAAATGGCTCTAAGTCAGGTTTTGCCACTTCTGTGTATTCAAGAGCTGGCTTGTTATTACCTTACTCAGGGGCACAAAACGACCCCTGTTCTCCCCCAGATTTATTCCCTTCATTACTATCGTCCCCAATTGGCTTGAATTTTAAAAACTTTCCACCTCTGCACTTTTTGAAGCCTAGATGAAACACAGGCGCAGCCAGTCTTAACAAACCTCAACACAATATCGACAGCCGTGCCCAAAAGACATCTTTGCCAAAGGAAGGCGACTTGCTAGGAACTGAGCAAATTTTCCAAAACAGGGAGAAAAGGACCCATTGTAATAAAGGCCTTTTTATTCCACAGATACACGGCTGTTTTGCCCTGAGGGCCTCTATCCGTCAACCAAATGTTTAAGTTGAAGGAGGGAACTTACCATTTTCTGTGTCACATTCCTCTAAAAATAATAGAGAAATAAATACGGGTTAGTTGCAAGAGCTCCGACATGCTTCTGCGAGCAAGAGCGTGAAGCAGAGATTAGGGACGGCTGCTGGAGATGCCGATTTGTCTTGGCCGAAGAAAAACATCTGGTGGAACGGGGCTGCGTTGTACTGCTCCGGGAAAGAGCTTGTTGGGTTCGGTCCCTCCTCCTTAAGTTACGTGTCTTGGTTATATCCGGGCGTCAGCACAAATTTAAGAGGTAAAGGATGGTTTCTCTTCCTAAGCCCAATTTGCTAGTCCCTAGACCTTCTTCAAGTGGCAGGAAGGTCCCAGTGAAACCTCGAACCTTGCCAAACGTTGCCTAGAGGTCCTGCTCTACGCAAGGGAGCTTTTCTGTCTCCAGCAAAAAAGAAAAAAAAAAAAAAGATCCTCCTCCCCGACCCAAAAATACTTACCAAGTTCTGTGTCACTTTCTTCTAAATTAAATAAAGAGAAACACATAAAGATGTATGTCAGTGCCAGTGCTACGGCTTTAGAAACATGTGCATGCAACCTCAGATAGGCGTAAGGAAGGGAAATGGCTTACCAAACTCTTCCGTTAACTTCCCTTAAAATAGAGAAAATAGTGTTAGAGCAAGCCTTTAGCACTAAGGTTTTACTTCGCAGGAGGAAGGGGGGGGGGAAAGATACATACTAATTTTTGCACCCCATTTCCCTGAAAGACAGACAGAGAGAAAATTCAGTCCTCAGTGGCGCCTCCTGTGATTTTTCTCTGCGCCCTACAGAAGTCATCTCCAAAAACCGTTTTGTACTTGCCGTTCTTTATCGATCACAACGGCCCAAGAATATCGGTTATAAATTTATCTAACTTGCTCTTTGCCCACATAAGTCTAAAATATATGGAAGCATAAATAAATCATCCTCCCAACCAAGAAAGGCCATTAGGGTACGTATGCGATTGAGGAGAGACTTGTTTTGCCGCGAGAAGAAAAATCACTTACCGAGATCTGCATTCCTTTTCCCTTAAAAAAGAAGAAATAAAAGAAAAAAATGTAAGTGCTTTTTTTTTTCTCCCCCCCCTCCCTCTCCCGCCAGGCCCAACAGCAATGGTTTTCTAGCCCAACTGCTGCATTTACCCTGGAGTTAAATGTTAATGCTCCCGTATTGACTGAGACACCGAGATTGAAGCGCAGCTCATCGTCAGTCAAGAAAAACATCCCACTAGAGAAAGCGTTTGAGGGAAACGCCCCAAAAAGCAGCCCCCATAGCCGGCAGAGCAAGAACCGGGTGGCAAAGCCACCAAACAGGTAGTGACCGCAGCCGGGCTGGGGGAGGAAGGGTTTGCCGGAAGCGCCTTAAGTCGCGTGCCAGGAGCCTCTCTTGGGTTTTCGGGCACGGGACCTGGGTGCTTTCTTAGCAAAGAGGGTTTCTCCAGCCGTACCTGCCTCCATCGCCACCGGCGAGCCACCGGCCAGGGCCTGAGCTTCGTCTACCTGGTGGAGCAAGAGGGACCATCACGAAGGCGCCGTGCCCGAGCAGAACCTGACCTTTCCAGCTCGGAGGAAAGCGCGTTGCGGGATGCGCCAGCTGGGCACCCTCAAGGACACGCGTGGGAAACAGAAGCGAATAAATTTGGCCTTTAGCAGAGAAACCTGAGGGACTTTGCTGTCTTACGAGAGGGAAGAGCTCAGCTCGACACTCGAGCTCTGAGAGCAGATGACATCTTGGCAGGGATGGGCTTCAGTCTCGTTAAAGTATTTAGGCGTGTGACGCCTCTTTTAGCAGATTGGATGCAATGAGTAAGAGCAACCTGCTAGAAAATGAAATATGAAATGAAATACTGATCCCTGGGGGGAGGAAAAAAAAAAAAAGGCTGGGGAGCTATGGGAGGTGATGTGGGCAGGAGCAGGGGCAGAGCTTTCTAAATGTTTTCTAACGCTTCCTGCATTCAGGGATATAGGGGCTCTGCTTGTTCCTCCATCGCTGGTTTTTCTTCCTAAACCGCCTGAGCTGCACGCGGATTGATTTTAATTTCCTGCCTCTGTTCACAACCCCATCTGAAGGCACAAAGCCTTCCCAGCCGCTGTGAAAGAGCCGAACGTGCCAGCGGGAAAAGCAGATCTCTGCGTGGGAAAAAGGTCTGATTGTGCTAAAAAGGAAACTATCGGGTGCTGCCTCGTTTGTGGTATTCACATCTTTCGGGAGCTGTAGGCTTTAACAGGACCGAATTGGATCAACTCCCTTATGGGGACCTGAATTTGTACAGAAATGGACTCAACAGAGCCAGGAAAGTGATGCCAACTATTTCTGCACGCTATTTTCCTAAAAGAAAAATTAGAACATAGCTTTTTTTTTTTTTTTAATCCTTTGCCTGACGTTTGTCTGTATCATCAGGTTTAGGTACAAGAATAAAAAAAGCCCCACAACCGGCAACGTGACACCAAAAAAAAAAAACGCCTTCACCCGCCTCT